AGGTGCGCACCACCACGCCCGGCTAATTTTTTGTGTTTTTAGTACAGACAGGGTTTCACCATGTTAGCCAGGATGGTCTTGATCTCCTGACCTCGTGATCCGCCCGCCTCGGCCTCCCAAAGTGCTGGGATTACAGGCGTGAGCCACCACGCCCGGCATGAAATCTATACTATTCTTAACTGAAGAGCTTCATAATTACATTAATAAAAGCTAACATTGGCCCGGCATGGTGGCTAACACTTGTAATCCCAGCACTTTGGGAGGCTGAGGGAGGTGGATCACTTGAAGTCAGGAGTTCGAGACCAGCCTGGCCAATGTGGTGAAACCCCATCTCTACTAAAAATACAAAAATTATCCAGGCATGGTGGTGCACACCTGTAATCCCAGCTACTCAGGAGGCTAGGGCAGGAGAATTGCTTTTACCCAGGAGACAGAGGTTGCAGTGAGCCAAGATCATGCCACTGCATTCCAGCCTGGGCAACAGAGGGAGATTCCATCTCAAAATAAATAAATAAATAAATAAATAAATAAATAAACTAACATTGATGAAGTGCTTACACATGCTCTGTACCATACCGCCTTAAATTCTGTGCATATATTTACTTCTTTGATCTTCTGAGCACTCCTATAAGGTAGATACTCTTGAAATTCCCATTTCATCCATGAGGAAACTGAGGCAGAAAGAGGTTAGAGTAGTTGTCCAAGTAAATGGCAGAGCCGGGATTTGAATATGTGCACTGTGGCCTCCGAGCCCACACACCCAGGCCTGAACTACACCGTGGGGGGCTGGTTAGCAACATGTATAGAGTGAGTGTGGGGTTCTTTTAACTTTTCAGAAGTGTGTGCTGAGGAAATGATAAATGTCTGAGAGCATTGTTGAGATCCTGTATCAAGCTGTTTAACAACTTAGCATCCCCTCCTTTTTGGTTTTCAGCTGTGGAACAACTACTTTCACCTGGCTGTTGCTTTCCTTACTCAAGAGTCCCTGCAACTGGAGAATTTTTCAAGTGCCAAGAGAGCCAAAATCCTTAACAAGTAAGTTCTCGTCCAGCTCTGAAACTGCGGGCAGGAGCCTCCAACTCTAATAGCATAATTTTCATGTCGTTTCTAAGCCAACTTGGTACAAATTGAGATGTAATCGCGGTGTAATGAAAGGGTGGTTTTAAATCATGAATCAGGTTTTGCCTTTTCTGACCCATGAATCAAGATCTAAAATTGCAGGACTCATCTTGGAAGGTTCCAAGTCAGTGTAATTCAAGACTATTAGTGCATCGCAGAATTTCAGTTTCCGGAGATAATTCCTTTTGCTGTGCACTATTCTGATGTCATTTCACATATGGTTCACTTTAGTGCTTAATTCTTCAATTCGAAAGGAGCTTCTGATGAAAGCTCTTGGCTCTGTTGGGATTGTTGAACAACTCATTGGGGAGTTATTGGTGGTTCCTTCTTGGCAGCAGAAAACCCCTGTCTTCTTCCGGGCAGGAGCTTTGAATGGACTGAAGTGGCACCTTGTATCATTGTAAATAAACATCTCCGAAGCTCCATGAAGGCTGAGATCCTTGCCGGCTCCTTCCGCTCTGTAACCCCAGTTTGCATCATGCACTGCTCATGATTCAGTCTCAAGAAACACAATTGTTGCATGGGCTTCCTTCCCGTGTTTGGGCACCCGGAGGGTCTTGCTCCTGTCTTTTTGCCTCAGTTTCACTAATTTCTCACTGCTGTCGGTGTTCTTTTCATGAGTCCTTTGGAGAAGAGTTCTGAAATTGCTGTGGTGTTGCCGAGTCATCAGTCACTGTTTGTCATTATATAAATACTCTGCAATATCTCGACCGTTCTAAGGCTTGGCCAACTCCATGCTGCTAACTGAGGTTAGAGATTCCAGAAAGAGTTTCAGAAGGCGGCGGCTGCTCTTTCTCATATCCTGTGAGTCTGTATCTCACTTTCAGGGCAAATCCAAAGCACATTATCTCTGGAGAGTAAGAATTATAGTCATGAGCTGGGCTCTGGTCCTCAGCCAGTAGTGGTAATAGCAGCTACTTGGGAGGCTGAGGCAGGAAGATCACTTGAGCCCAGGAGGTCAAGGCTGCAGTGCACCATCGTCATACCTGTGAATTGCCATGCACTCCAGTCTGGGCAACATGGCAAGACCTCCTTTCAAAAAAAAAGAAAAGAAAGAATTATAGTCACGCACTACATAACCACAGACTACATGCTGTGTTTTTCTGTAACTTTTCTTTGTTTAGATACACAAATACTCACCATTGTGTTACATTTGCCTGTGGTATTTATTATAGTCACATGGTACCTTACAAACATGTCGTACAGGTTTGTAGCCTAGTAACAGTAGGCTATACCGTATGGCAGAGCTGCGTAGTAGGCTGTAGTATCTCGGTTTAAGTTCACTCTACAATGTTCACACAATGACAAAATCACCCAGCGACATGTTTCTCAGAACATATCCCTGTCATTAGCAAAGCATGAGTGTATTTCAGCAAATCATTTACTCAGCCTGTACTTTATGTCAATGACTTTCTAAGCATTTCATGTGCATTTTTCATCTATAATCATTAAAAAGCAAAACTATTCCTTAGGCCCTCATATCTGTCCTAGTTTCTAGATGAAGAAGGTCACACACAGTGACCGAGCCACTTGGCCAGTCCTACACCTAGAATGTGGCAAAGCAGCATTCTAATCTAGGCGGTTCAGGGCCCACGATTTTCACCTGGGCTGCTTTTAGAACCTTCAAGCTTTTGGTCTGCACCTATCTAACTAAAGATCACCTTTCACCTGGCCATCTTTCCGCCAGGCTTCCTCAGCTGGGTGATTCCTGTCTGACAGCCATCCATGCAAACAGTGATCATTGTTCAGAAACAAGAAATGCACTTGCTGAGCCGAGCATTGAGAATGGTGTAGGCAGAGTGGGTGCTCGCCTCTGACTACCGGAGCGGCACGCAGCAGCTGTAGCCCCCCACCTCTGGGCCTGCACAGGTGGCTGCCGCTCGTCCTGGCTTCTAGCATCAAGAGACAGACTTCTCCAGGCTACATCTTCTGGAGACTGGCTGAGCAGAGGCGCGGGCTCCTGCTTTGTGGAATGCACGCTCCCTCAGGGCCCAGGGGAAGGGAGGGATGGCGCTTTGTGGTTGTTGCTGTTGTTGTTGATTTGTCTTCATGCTGGGAATTGTAGTGCAGACGGTAGTGACCAGTGCACACTAAGCAAATGAAGCACAATGCACTTCAATGCACTGTGAATCCACTAGGTATAGACACACCTCTTTCAGCACACGCCCCCTGTTGTCCCGTCCAGCGAAAGGACAGCTCGGCCACAGCAGGTGGAGCCGCCTGCCTACGTGCCCAGGGCCCACTGTAGGGTGAAGCTGGGACCCGAGCCCAGCCCCAGCTGTCTTGAGAGCCCACTCTTTGCCAAGCACGCTGCAGCTCCTGGCCTTGGAGATGCCTGCGGGAGAAGAGAGGTGAATTTAAACTGGAAATCTGCCTCAAAAGAACTGGCATCTTCTTAGTGGATTCTAGAATAAAACAATTTGGGGCTGAGCACCCCGCAAGCCCTAGCAGGGCAGCTCTGTGCTGGGCCCTTCCTCCTGTTGGTGTGAGTGTTAAGAGCCTAAGGCAACATGGAGACAAGCATTAACACCGGTGCAGTGGCTCATACCTGTAATCCCAGCACGTGGGAAGGCCAAGATGGGAGGATAGCTTGAGTCCAGGAGTTTGAGACCAGCCTGGACAACATGACAACACCCTTCTCCACAAAAAAATACAAAAATTCTCCAGGCGTGGTGGCGCGCACATGGGGTGCCAGCTACTCCGGAGGCTGAAGTGGGAGGATCTCTTGAGCCCAGGGCGTTGGGGCTGCAATGAACCATGATCACACCACTGCACTCCAGCCTGGCTGACAGAGTGAGACCCTCTGTCTCAAAAAAAAAAAAAAAAAAAAAAAGAAAAAGAACATTAACCTCAAAGGGCTTTGGCTGCTAAAGAAAATGTTTGCTTCCCACACAGTGGCGTGGATTCAGAAGCTTCAAAGCCACAGAAAATTAAACACAGCCAGCTGGTATCGCCCCCTCAGGAGTCACCCAGGGTCTCTCCTTAGGGCTTTCGTATTCTCTTTGTCACAATGGTAACACCAGGAGACTCTGGAGTTTCCCCAGGAAAAGTCCCCAGGCAATTCACAAGTTGTCTTTGCAGACCCTGGCAGGATAGCCTCGGGACTTTGTGCTCTCTGAGGGGCCTCTCCAGAACTCCCCTTGTGGAGGTGACAGGAGATCCAGGACAAAGCCCCGGAGCCTGAGATAAGGCTGCCTTGACCTTGAGGCCGTGTGGCACACACATGTGGAGGGTCAGCTTTATTTGTTGTAGTCGTCATGCCACTTGATAAGCCTTCGGCCCTTCATAGTCCATTTGCAAATTTTATTTCTAAATAGCAAAACCTGCATAAGAAATATGTGAAGATGTCCTACCCCAGTGCTTAAATTTTCTCGGGCACATACAGTACCTAGAAATGTGATTTAAAATTGTCTGGTTAAAAGGGATTCAGTGCCCGCTCTGTGCTCAGTTGGGTCCTGGTGCTGGGGACAAAGACACAGACCTCATAACGAAGAAGGTCATGGTCTAGTGGGGTAAATGGAGAAGCAAAAATAATGAATGGAGTTGGGCACACATGGAGTGGTGACAGAGGGCCTTGGCAGCCCGGAGATGGCCTGTGGGACTCAGCCGTGGGAGACAGAGGCCTCCTGGCAGCTTGAGCTTCCCGGCTGGGTGGTGAAGGCAGCTGAGAGGTTTGCCGGGGAACATCGAATGCCAAAGGGCATGGCGCCATCTACATATAAGCAGAGACATGATCTGGGTTGTCGAAGTGTAAGGGAGCAGCAGGACCTGGGCGACTTGGAGCTTGGGGCAGGGCGTGGGGGCTTGTGGTCTGGGAGTCAACCTCACGCTCTGAGCAAATGGTGAGCGCTGACTTGGAGCCCCATGGAGCAAGATGCATGCACCTGTCTGTTTCTAGGGGGAAAGCCATGTGGTCTAAAGGTGGAGCCATGACACACCCACTTAGTAGGCTCAGCACTGCCTCCATTTGGGGCCTGTCTCTCACTCTAGGGCTTGTGAGTCCAACCTAAGGCATCCGAGGGAGCATCCTCAACCCCTCAGCCTACCCTTCCCTTCCCCCTTGCCAAGCCCTGCAGCTCCTCACCTCTGCTTGGTCCACAGCTTTGTGGCTCAAAACAATAGAAATTCCAGCATCAGGAGACCTGCCTGCTCCATCCTCCTAATGACTGAGGTTGGGGAGATAATTAGAATTTTCATTCTAAAGACATTCCCCAACGTGCATGGGAGTAAATAAAAGAATGGGCCATACCACGCAGAGAACTGATTATGGCAGACCCAAATTGAGTATAATATTCGCCAGTGTACCACAAAATAAATAACCCCTAGGAATCAAGTCCGTAATATGAAATTTTAACTGGCTCAACCTTCAGACATCCTTGGTGCTAGTGACTCCCAAGGAAGGACAGAGATGTTAACAGAATTCTAAACCTGACCAGCAGCTCTTCCTCCCAATCCAGCCCCCTAGACTTTTTTACCTTATTGGGACTCAGGAAATATGACCAAAATGTAAAAGGGATGACTTTTGATTAGCAGCCAGCTTGACAATTTTGATATGCAAGACACGTGCACCCTGGTATGGGGCAGTATGTTGAAAGACTGCAAAGGAGCTTCTGTGTTCAGGACCAGAAGAGGAAAAGGGTTCATGAATTGGGCCTCCTGCATGTCTAAGCATAAAGGGCTCACTTAAAGTTTCAGCACGAGAGGTTAAAGTTTGATGGCAAAGTTCAGCTCAGTGCAGAGAGGCCATCCACAAAGACCTCCTCCCCACCTGGTCCCTAGGCTGCTTTCAGTTTTGGGGAGGTTTTGTTTTTGTTGTTGTTTTTTTTGTAACTATACAAGTCTACAGTGTTCTAAGAGGATAGGTTTCACAATGGGACCAAAATATCCCCTTCTGACCAAACACTGGGTTCCGCACC